AAAACTGTTTTCCAAAATTCGCAGCAGGTAGTGTACAGCATCGATTTCTGTGGAACCCAGTAGCTGTCAAAACTTTCACATTTTTACGAATAACTCGGAAATCGTAAATTTTTCAGGTAAAACGGTTGAAACAAACATAAATTAAAATTGAACGGCCAATCTGAAAATAACAAGAAAAAGGGGGGGTTTCATTTAAAAAACCAGAGTTGGTAACTACCACACGTTTATGATGCACCCTGTATATTGGAAAGTAGTTTTAGAATGTGGACCTTTTAAACGTGAAAAACTTTCGTTGGACGAATTTTCTTGTAAACTTCATATTTACTGAGATATCGCACTTTGACGCACTAATGAGCAACCCTGTATATCGCCGGTATATTTTAAACAGATAGAACGTCTTCAAATCACCAAAATTAATTGAGTTTTTAGTTCTATTCAGATACAAGTTGAATCAGCGAAAAGTATTAACTAATGCTGAACGCCAAAAACGATTTCGTGCTAAAAAATGAGCATTGAGTAATAGATCAACACAAAGTAGCTTTCATCAACCACGAACTAGTGCTGAACGTCAAAGATTATACAAAGCAAATAAGAAATTACTACTAAAAAATACAGAAACTCAAGAAGACGAGTTTACACAAACCCAAGAAGAGCAATATGTACAACCTCTCGTTGAAGAATATTAAATGTTACAAAGATATTTTACATTCAAAAGGAAATTAAATTACATTTTACCTATTCCTGATCTCTTTATAAATTAGACCAAGAAGAATATTAAAATTATAAAATAAAATAATTATTGCCATCATGCGTTAAACAAGTTCGATATTTTATGGCTTCTATAAATATATGAAGTTATCACTTTTGTCGAGCGTCCCGTGACGCACACCATTTTTTTTTTAAATAAATAAGGCTTAACACTAGGATCACAAAAAACAATGCAAATAATTTGAGAGCACTTACTATTTTTGCATTTAAGTCTAAACATACAGTTATGTATGTTTAGATAGATGTGATAGATGCTCCCTTGGGGAGTACAAGAAAAATATAGAAAAATTTTTTTTCGAAAATTTCTTGAAGATATTAACAATTGAAGATCGAATTTCAACTTTGTTATTAAGAATTATTTTGAAATTGTTCCATGTTCAATTGGTAGCATATTGGAATACTTAAGCATTCAAAAAG